TAGAACAAGAAAAATGCAAGGTTTTCCAAAAAAGGTGACATTAAACTGAAATTAGCAGAAAGTATAATACTTCCTTTAAAGAGTTGTTGAGAATGTATGGCACATAGAAGGCACTCAATAAATTGTCATTATTACCATATGATTACTAAAAATGTGGTAATAAAAATATAAAGGAAACTATGAATGTGAGAGACTAGAAATGAAGGTTCACTTGTATCTGTTGATTCATTATTAGGAAGAGAGAGAACAAACAGAAGAGAAGTTTCATTCTGGGTTGGGGGGGATGGGAGCACTGGTAATGGCTTCAGTCAGAACTGAGAACTGAGAACAAGAGGTAAAAGGCCAGCCTAGGGGAAGACATAACATTTTATTTTGGTGAAAGGATTTAAAGTGCTAGTGGAAAAAGGACCTGGCATATTCCCAAAAGCCAAGTGAAAATTTGGATCAGGAGATCAGAGGAGTAAGGCTAGAAACAAAGCCTTTAACGTCACCATGTGATGGTTAACTGAGTGGTCTTGTCATGCCCTCAGTCATCTTGAATCTTTGACAAGACACTCTGGTTTTAAATTTAGGTATTACAGGCTATTACCACAAGGTAAGTCAAAAGTTCCTGTACCATCAATGCATATCTTTGACAAACACTGCAACCTTTGATAACAGGTCGTTTTGTCCACAGCTAAGCACTGATGAAGTACATTGTTTCTTAATTCTTTTTTTTAGAGACAATCTGACTCTGTCACCCAGGCTAGAGTGCAGTGGTGTCATCACAGCTTGCTGCAACCTCAAACTCCTGGGCTAAGTGATCCCCCTGCCTCAGCCTCCCGAGTTCAGGCATAGCTGGAACTACAGGTGTGCCACCATGCCTGGCTAATTTTTCTATTTTTTGAAGAGACAGGGTCTCACTTTTGCCTTAGTCTGGTCTTGAACTCCTGGCCTCAAGCGATACTCCCATGGTGGCCTCCTAGAGCACTAGGATTACTGGTGTGAGCACTGCCCCTGGTCCTGTTTCTTAATTCTTAAAATTCAAGCAACTTTTGTTCAATGGATAGTTATTAGACTTCTTATGATAATTAGATAGCAGGATGAAATATGTTCCATTATGTAAGTTAAGTGATCTAAAATATAAATGCCTATTACATAACACACTTTCTATATTGGTTGTAACATACATTAATAATTCTTACAATAATCTGAATGATAATTACTATGGTTATTGTATCAAGTATCCTCTTTCTCTTCTTACTCATCAATTCCTTATTGCTAAATTCAATGGTTACTTTTTTGTCTCCAACCTCTTCCAACCTCTCAGCAACGTTCCACAGTTAGTTGTCCACTGCAGTTCAGTGACAGAAGCCCTCTTGAAACACTTTTTTTTTTTTTCTCACAAACTACATAATGCCACAATCTCCTGGAAGTGTTCTTACACTACAATGCTTTTTTGCTGGCTCTTGAAGCAGGTGCTGAGCTTGCATCTTGTTGCAGGCTATACACTATTCCTAAGTAAACTCATCAGCTCCAGTGACTTTAAATACCATCTAGACCAGTGGTCCCCAACCTTTTTGGGACCAGGGACTGGTTTCATGGAAGACAATTTTTCCATGGACCAGGGGTGAGGCAAATGGTTTGGGGATGATCCAATCACATTACATTTATTGTGCGGTCACACCTCTCTGCTAACGATAATCTATATTTGCCGCCACTCCCCATCACTAGCATCACCGCCTCAGCTCCACCTCAGACCATCAGGCATTAGATTCTCCTCAGGAGCTCGCAACCTGGATCTCTCGCATGCACAGTTTACAGCAGGACTCATGCTCTTATGAGAATCTAATGCCACAGCTCATCTGACAGGAGGCGGAGCTTATGCAGCGATGCATAAGGAGATGGGGAGTGGCTGTAAATACGGATGAAGCTCAATTCCTTGCCTGCCACTCACCTCCTGCTGTGTGGCCCAATTCCTAGCAGGCCTCCGACTAGTACTGGTCTGCGGCCAGGGGGTTGGGGACCGCAGATCTAGACAGTAGTTTTCAGAGTTTGGTCCATGGATCAGAAGTATCAGAATCACCTGGGAACTCACTAGAAATGCAAATTACCAGGTCCACCCAAAAATAAGAAATCAGAAATTGGGGGTGGGGGGGGCCTATCAATTAATTTTTTAACAAGCTTTCCGGGTACTTCTGATGCTCACTGAAGTTTGAAAACCACTGATCTAGAATAATGTTTTTTCGAACTCCTGACCTCGAGCAATCCGCCCGCCTCAGCCTCCCAGAGAGCTAGGATTACAGGCGTGAGCCACCGCGCCCGGCCTTAGAATAATGTTTTTTGTAATGAAGGTTGTAATTCACTTGCTGGTCATGAAATAAACTGAGTTGCAACCAACATTTTATTTGTTTGTTTGTTTGTTTGTTTTTTGAGACAGAGTCTCATTTGGTTGCCCAGGATAGAGTGAGTGCCGTGGTGTCAGCCTAGCTCACAGCAGCCTCAAACTCCTGGGCTCAAGCAATCCTTCTGCCTCAGCCTCTGGAGTAGCTGGGACTACAGGCATGTGCCACCATGCCTGGCTAATTTTTTCTATATATATTAGTTGGTCAATTAATTTCTTTCTATTTATAGTAGAGACGGGGTCTCGCTCTTGCTCAGGCTGGTTTTGAACTCCTGACCTCAAGCAATCCGCCCGCCTCGGCCTCCCAGAGTGAGATTCACGTGAATTTTAAATATGAACTATCTAACAAATACCCCCATATAGTGCAAACTCTTGTGGAGAAGTTTAACAGTAAGTTCAGTAGGATATAAAATGAGAAGGGAACATACGTTGGGAAGGAAATTAGGGAGCAAAATGAATGGACAGGAAAGTCATATACACAGCCCAAACAGGTTTGCTGGAGAATGTGTGAAACGTATTGTGTTATAGTTAGAGAATGACTTAAATGGCAGATTTGTTTCCTGTATTCAGTGTAAATCATTGTCCTTCCTGAGTCCTACTGGCACCGTGTACATGTGTCTGTGCATGTGAGATTGTAACTTTGGGGAGGATGCTGCTACTCTGCCTATCTTATGGCATAAAAGTTATATTCACAAGAGAACCCCAAATCACTCTGTACCTATTTCAGCTAGAGTAATGGGGTTTAAGTAACAGCAAGTGTAGATGATGGTACGGGCTCTGGAGTCAGTGTGCCTGGGTTTGAACCCCATTTCCACTATTAGCTATGTGACTTTGGATACATTCCTTAATTTCCCTGAGCCCATTTCCTTATTGTATCATTAGAGACCTCATGTTGACTGAGTTTATAATGTATGTAAAGACTTTTGAACAATGCTTGGCACATGGTAAGTAACCAAAGTATTACTAGGTATCACAATTCTTATATTTGGCTCTTCAAATGCTTTTTCTTCTCTACTTGTCACAACAGTCCTATGAGGCAGATAATTGTAAGACATCCCCATGTCCCCTTATAGATAAGCAAGTGTGAATCATGAGGAGGTTAAATGACTCATCCAAGAACTCACAACTACTAAGAAGTAGAACTAAGATTAGAACATACTCTTAGCTGCACACATACAGGAGGTTTCCTAATAACTAGGCAAACGTTGGTTTTCTAGCACCCTAGAAATTATGAATAATCAAGAAGTCTATTCCCATTCTGCTTCAGTTACCCTAACATCTACATCAGAACAAGGAAGTATATTACACACTTGCACACACATATCAACTGTATCCATCATCTGTAGCTCTCCAAAAAGAGGTTGAGAACCAAGTGCTACAGTACACTTATCAAATTTTGTTCCCATGCCTTCGTATTCTCTCTTCCAGACTAATGACTCCACCAAGAATAAAGGAGATGTGTTTTATTTATTTCACAGCAGACTCAACACTGTTACTAAAAAGTGGATGGTATTCAACAAAGATTTTTTGAATAAATAAAGAAAATAATGCATGAGGGAGGCTCTGTAAAATCACAAAGTACAGATCAAGCTTTTACAAAGTTAACTTATTATAAAGTTAAATTTATTTTTATATTTTCTATTTGTATGTTTATTATATTTAGAAAAATATAAAGTTAATAATGATTAACAATAGTAAGAGCTATAATATTTGCTGACAACTTACTATGTGGCAGGTTAAAGGCCTTATTACCTTATTTCAATCCTCACTAAAATCCTATGTACTAGGTACCATTATTATGCTCTTTTTATAGAAGAGAGCATACGTAAGGTCACCCTCTAGGAAGCGCTAGAGGTAGAATTTCAACTCTTTCAATTTCTATATCAAATTCCTTTTCTACATTGTAGAAAGGGAAACATTTTTTAAAAGAAACATATATTTCACATACAATAAAATTCACCCATTTAAAATGCATGTCAGTGGTTTTTAGCATATTCATAAATTATACAACCATCACCATATCTAATTTTAAAATATTTTCATCACTCCCAAAAGAAAATCCAAATATACCAGTAATCAGGTCTAACTACATATACTGTACACACATAAAAGAAATGCAAATTCTTTTGAATAAAGCCTCCATTAAATATATGTATGAATTTATATTTGATTCAGCTAATGCAAAAGAAAATCATGAAATGAATTCCAAATAACTTGATGGGCCTTCTATAATTTTTCATTAGCAACATCAATATCCCTTTAAGTAAGACAAGTAATCAAGAGCTGACATCTATATCCAACTTGGATTATTAAGGGTCAAATTCCAATTTCAAGGACTTCTTGGAATTTCTGTACTCACAACCAAATAGGACAATTAGGAGGGAATATAGCAAAAACAGTATCCAACAAAAGCTTCCTTCAGTATTCTATCAATGTCAAAGAGAAAAGCTTAGGATAGAAAGCCACAAGTTTCAAACATATAGATTTTCTTTTTAGCATATGTTCATGCACATTTTTGAAGAATCCATAGCCCTATAATTTTTCATAATTTACAACAGTCATTAAAGCATAATTTAATAAATTCTGCATCTACCCTGAAGAGTAAAAAGGAACTTACTGTCAGTAAATGCATACTCTTCTTCATTTTCATCACTGTCTTCGGATGGAGCTTTATAAGGAGGAGGCAGCTTCATCGGCGGTGGAGCAGTTCCTTGCCTCTGAAAATGCAAAATTTGAGAGCAGTGTTAACTGCTTTTGTACAATCCTCTTCTTTGATGACAAAAAGCATAAAAAGATAATCTGAAAATATTTTAACTGTACCCAACTGCAGTCAAATCATGAGGTATGATAAAAAAAATACAATTTATCCTCTACACCTATGCAATATATAAAAACGACTCTATGATGTAAATATACTAATGCAGAAGACAGGAATTCGAAAGCACAGCTTTTAAGACTGTTGATCTACCTAAAAGAATGCATTACTTTCCCCAGTGAGAAAGCCTGCTATGTATTTTTTCTTTGTACTGTGGAGCCTTAATTTTCTTTGATATTAACCAAATAATTCAAATGAAGGATATCTTTAAAATAAACCTAAAAGTAAAAAATACCCAATGTAGTAATTCTACAAATCTTCAATTTTGAATTTTTTTCAATTGTAGAGGTTACAGATTTCATTCTTAAAAAAAAATACTTGAAATACCAAGATTTTCCAGCTGAGAAGGTATTCATTTATAATTTATTGATGGTCAACGCACATCTTAATGTTTTTAAAAAGAGAAATGCTTGTGATAATTATTTCTGCATAAGTATGCTTTCAATTTACATACCAAATGATACAAAACATCAATATTTGCTTTATATACACAATTAAAGTAGAACAAAACTCCATGATCAGATTACCTTCATAGAACGAAGACATTTTCTTGAATGATGAGAAAAATAAAACATGCCAAACTTTACGGAGAGATCCAAGCTGCTGAGAAGAATAGGAGCCGATATACCCAAGCACTCCACAAAAAACCAATATAACTGGATTATGCTACAGGATTTCAATAAAGTACATTCAATTATGCTTTATATGACAAAACCACTAATGGCAGGATACGCTTCAGTAAGTGGATGGAGACTGGTCCATTACAGAAAGCAGGCATGTAATAAATTCCTCCAAAACAGAAAACACTATTTGGGAGTCATAAAAGAAAACACACGCCCGTATTTACTTAAGATAATGTCAAACCAAAGCAGTAGCTATATACATTTGTAGAAAATCCAAAAATCAATAAAAGGCAAGAGTGATGAAGGAAGAGAAGATGCCAAATAAAAAATGCTTATTAAGCAACAGGGCAAAACAGAAATGTGATCACTGTGTCTCTTAAAGTTGAAAAAACTTAGAAGCGAGTAAAATGAAGAGCAAAGGCCAATGAATACTTTACAGTAAACCTTTTCCTCGGAACCAGGGTATTCTATATCAAAGACAATACTCAGAACAAAGACGGCCAGAGCTTAAATATTTAGAGATTTAGATAATATTTTTATCTCTTTAATATTAAAAGATAGAAATTCTCCTTAGTAGTTTTTTTTTTTTTTTAATTTAAGGGGAAAAAACGCAATTGACTTATTTAATTAACTTTTACTGATTCTCTTGAAAAGAATACACAGTTAGCATGTCCTGGTCTCCCTATAGTTGGAATGTGGACGGCTGGATACCTGGGGCATCGTTCTGCTGCACATGGGGTGTGGATAGGGCCAAGCTGCCAACAAGACTGGAGCAAGGGATATACAACAGGCCAGGTGATTCTGACCTCCATGGGGGCAGAGAACAAAACAGACTCTGTGGTATCCTCAACTCTGAGAATAGTCCTGGCACAAAGTAGATCTCCCTTAACTATTTGCTGAATGACTAAACAATTGGTCATCACTCATGCTGCTTGGGTTCCCTGATGCATTAACTTTTAGAAAAATGACAGTGATGCAAATTATTCTTGTTCAATAGCATTATGTATTAGTTTTGCCTGGTAGAGATATAAAGGATTTTAGTCCTACAGAAAAGGTAACTTTAGGCCAGGTGTAGTGGCTTGCACCTATAATCTCAGCACTTTGGGAGGCTGAGATGGAAGGGTCACTTGAGGCCAGAGGATCATTTGAGGCCAGGAGTTTAAGACCAGCCTGGGTAACACAGAAAGACCCCGTTCTATAAAAAATTTAAAAACTAGCTGGGTTTGGTAGTGCATACCTGCATGTCTCAGCTATTCAGGAGGCTGGGGCAGGAGGATCATTTGAGCCCAGGAGTTAGAGGTTGCAATGAGCTATGATCATGCCATTGCACTCCAGCCTGGGAAACAGACTGAGACCTTGTCTCTTAAAAAATAACTTAATTAAAAATTAAAAAATAGAAAACACAATTTGAAAGGTTACTGTTTCATTGCCCTGTAAGACATTAACCAGTTTGGTATCTAAATTTGAATCTTAAGCATTCTTTCTTTCTGCAACTGTAAATACTTCACTCTCTTCCATTCTCTCTGAGCCAGGCTTACCATCTTGTTGGTTCCCTTAATAATGAGTTAAATAAATACCTGGAACCTGCACATTTTGTATAATTTTGAGTTGTGTTTTTGTTTTTTCTTAAATTATACTTTGACAGTTTTGGAGGTCCCACTGAGATGCTCAAGTAGACTCACCTACCAGAACCAATTAAACTGTGATGTCTCAGATATGTAATTCATGAGCTGTTTAAGCCCAGTTCTATGATTTTTTATCCCCCACAGTAAATTCCAAGTGGCAACAGAACTTTGCCTTTTTGATAGTTTCTCTGCTTTTTTATTTCCAATTCTATGTTTTTGTCTCTGATATACTAGGCCACTGGTTTGTAGACAACATTTTCGTTGGGTAGTACTGGAAAAGAAAATGAAGGTAACTAACAGTAGAGGACTACTTCTCTAGTAACGACTCTCCCCGTTATACATAGTGTCCACAGCCCCTTGAAGAAAGAGAATACATGAAGTAACACTGAAGAAAAATTCAAAAAGAAAACACCAGAGTTGTTATGAACCTGAAGTTAGTATTTCTATGAATCCTGATTGCCTATCTGTTAACATTCTACATAATGAAAAACTGGTTGGAAAATACTGAATGGAGGCAAAACAGAACAAAGACTTAAGACCCGCAGACTGCCTGTAATCCTAGCACTCTGGGAGGCCGAGGCGGGCGGATTACTTGAGGTCGGGAGTTCGAAACCAGCCTGAGCCAAGAGAGAGACCCTGTCTCTACTATAAATAGAAAGAAATTAATTGACCAACTAATATACATAGAAAAAAATTAGCTGGGCATGGTGGCGCGTGCCTGTAGTCCCAGCTACTCGGAAGGCTGAGGCAGGAGGATCGCATGAGCCCAGGATTTGAGGTTGCTGTGAGCTAGGCTGACGCCACGGCACTCACTCTAGCCTGGGCAACAAAGTGAGACTCTGTCGCAAAAAAAAAAAAAAAAAAAAAAAAAAAAAAAGACCCGCAGACTGAATTTTCTTATTTTTTAGTTAGTTTTTTAGTCATTCTTTTTCTATCTCTTTTTTTAATGTGAATGATCTCAAGGCAGACATAGACCTCTGTTAGGAATGAGTTTCGGTGATTTCTGTCTCCCTTGTTGTTGGTAATTCTAGAGAACATGTATTGCTTTTGCAATAAGTAGAAAGTAATGCACGAAAAAATTATTAATACTTTTTTTTGTTTTTTGTTTTTTTTGGAGACAGAGTCTCACTTCGTTGCCCAGGCTAGAGTGAGTGCCATGGCGTCAGCCTAACTCACAGCAACCTTGAACTCCCGGGCTCGAGCAATCCTCCTGCCTCAGCCTCCCGAGTAGCTGGGACTACAGGCATGCGCCACCATGCCTGGCTACTTTTTTCTATATATATTAGTTGGCCAATTAATTTCTTTCTATTTATAGTAGAGACGGGGTCTTACTCTTGCTCAGGTTGGTTTCGAACTCCTGACCTAGAGCAATCCGCCAGCCAGCCTCCCAGAATGCTAGGATTACAGGCGTGAGCCACCATGCCCGGCCCATTAATACTTTTAATGATAATCATTTTTAAAGAGAGAGATTAGTCATCATTTGCCCTCCTGACTTGTGAAAGGGTATGCTTCCACAGCACCCCGGGCACGTTTCTATTATCATACTCATTACGCTTCTGTTTATTTCACAACATGCCGCCCTCATCTATGCACCTCTTAGGGTGAAGGCGCTTTGTCATTCCGGAATGTAGTGCGACACTTGGCACCTACAATGTAATTTCAGAGAAACTAATACAATAAAGAGCATTCTGCAACCAATAAAACACCATCCTGTAGTGGACCTGTAGATTCTGATTTCTTCTACTGCAATGTTAACTTAACAGTTAGTTGTTTTTCTCTGTGATAAAGAACTCAGCTAAACAGATATTCATTGACATTTGGTATTACTGGGCTTCTACTGGATTTTTACTGAATGCAAATATCTTTGCTATGTATTAAAATTCAGTTTAGCTCAATGGAACAGGCCAAAGTTGGTAAGAATCATACATCTGCCTTTTTCCTTCCTGGGATGTTATATGGAATTTTCCTGAATTGATTACATTGTATTATTCCAAAAGTAGCTGGATTAGTAACCAGTTTATTAATCTATGTGGTGTTTATTGTCCCCACAGACTGATACCTTGTCTATTTTTTTTTTTTTGATGTTTTAGCCCCAGACTGTTGTACATTAACTGGCTCACTATGGTTTCCAATAAACATGTGATGAATGTTCAGATATTTGAATCAACATATGAATCGACAAAATTCTAGCAACAGGGTAGATTAAATATTTGGAGAAACCCATCTTAACCAAGTAAAAAATGTCAGACCAAATTTTGAAAAGTGTTTTTACGACATGTGACCGAGGCCAAAAACAACCATAAATCCCAAATCAGGTGGCTTAGTGGAGCAATGGAAGGTGGCATTTGCCTACAGGGCACCTGGCAATCCTTGGTGACCTAAAGCCAGAGATCTTGTCTAGTTTTTAGGATTCTTTATGCATTCAACAAATATGTATGGTGCCAGAGAGCATTCTGGGCAATGGAGACAGAGTAAAAATGAACCAGAGGAGGTACCTGCTCTCATAAAGCTTAAATTCCAGTCCTTTCCAGAGGTCACATTTTGTGGGTCTCCACACCTGTTCCCCAAATTGCTTTAAAGTTGTAGTTGCTGAA